CCAGCAAGTGGCTAGAAGTCCAGGAGGAACGACGACGTCAGCGAGTGCAAACGACGCATCAAGAGCTGTTACGTCGATGTAAGAAATTTCCAACGAAAGACCTGATGAAGGATTTGACCTCGTGGAGGGGACGACCCCCTCCAAAACGGAAAAAGATACTTCAAGCAGAGGAGGAACCGGTGGTGTAGAAGTACCGGCCTCCCAAGGAAGAATGAAAGTGATGGATGAATGGGACACAACTGGATCTTCTGGCGAGCTGAAAGGAAACCGCTCGAGACGAGTCGATCTTAAGAAGGGAGCGGATGTAATGGACAAAGAAGATGCTGCAAGAACAGCCTCCGAAGCAAAGGAACGGGGATGCACCGTTAGGCTATTCGGGACGAACAGCCTTAAGGAGGGAGCAGTGTGACATGTTGAGCTATGGATCACCCCTACCTCCCCAGCGGTACGTGGCGGTAACGTAACGCTCGCGTTACTACGGTAATAGGCGAGTTCCCGCCCCGCCACTCCCCTCCGCGGTGATGTAACGCGCAACGCTACGTACCCGTAATCAACTTCCTACTGTGACGTGGCACTCATTACGCAACCGGCAAGCACTGCAGCTATATAAGTGAGCTGCACAGCTGGTACCAGTCAGTTCTACTGTAGCAGTCGGCGACTTCAGTTGTACTGTGACAGCCGCCGAGTTATAACGTGGCCATCGCCGAAGATAGTTCCGAGCAAGCCTACGAGAGTGTGTTATCAACAGTTCTGCAGTCAGCGGACTACAGTTGGAGTATAGCAGCCGTCGCGGATAGAAGAACCGGACGTGTGTGTGATTGTGTACGTGGGAGCGTGTGATACAGTGATACATAGCTCCCCTACTGTAAACGTGTAGACTACTGAAGACAGAGTGAACTGATTTGCGCATAGGGTTATAAGTCGTGAAACGCTGCAACAGTGTTAACAGATTAATGCGATTAGGGTTATAAAGTGTGAAACCCCGCAACTGTGAGATAAGTAATTGTAGCCGTTACTTGTAGATTGTTGAATAAACGAATTAACGATCTCTACGGCGTCTTCAGTAACGAAACACGTTACAATATGTTTTGATTTTATAACAGCACTAATAAGTCATTATAGCTAGGTATATATTTATATGGCAGGAGGCCGTAATTATTTATGGAGGTTTATATGGAAGATATTTTTGTTCATTCAGAAGAATCTAATTACACAGTATAGTATTTTTGTGGTGTATTGTGTTGTGCTGTTACGTTTTAGCTTTTCAAATCTTGCAGGAACAAAAGGCTGAGAAAGGTTACCCTTGTGACATATGTGGAAAGATGTTAAATCATCCCAGTTCTGTAGTATATCATAAGGAAGCAGAACACAACAACGGGAGGCGTTTTGTCTGCAACAAGTGTGGGAAAGGTTTCAAACATAAACAGCTTCTACAGAGGCATCAGTTGGTTCATTCTGATGACCGGTATGTATCCTTCTTACATAGCACTGATTTCATGATGGACCCAATGCTATAGAGAAGACAGGGTCCATAGTTTGGTTTAGTTAAAATCTATGGTAGCCTTGTGTCAGTGTTGTTTAAATTGAAGATAAACAAGATTGTTGTAGAAAGTTTGAGTTAGATCTGCATCGTTTGTACACTATGTTGTCTTCCAAATTAAATCTATAAAGATACATACTCATATGGTATATAACTGGCTAATTTATATATTGGTTTTTCTTTTCAGTTGTAGCCATTATAAAGTTTAACTGTAGATGGCACATTGTATTGTAACTTTATGGTCTTGTCAGTAAGGTGTATGAAATCTGCCCATGAAAGTACTATGAAGACTTGAAAGAAATTACAGTTAAAATATCAAAAATACTTTTCTCAAACATGGAAGCTGTAACTAACTCCCTGTTAGTGATTATCCTGATTTCAGCTGTTTAAGTTTTTTTCTATTATATAACCTGGAAGTTCATAATCACTGTGAAAGCTCATTGGTTTAAATGGGGCTATTTGGAAAGTAAACTTTGTTAGCTGTTAACAAAACAAGCAATGAGAAAAAGAAATTGTATTGTGTACAAAAGATACATACGTACTTCAGCTACTTCTCAACGTAGTAACTGCTGGAATTGAGGCGCTTGTCATATCAGGGAATAAGTTTATGTATGCTTGTGTCAAACAAGTCTGCCACCTATGAGCTCAGCCACGTTTTGACACGTTCCATCATTCCTCATTATTGTTGAAGTACTATAATCACAACCAGTTCTTCAGGTTAGTGAACAGGTCGTAGTCACTCAAAGTGAGATCAGGGCTGTAAGGAGGGTGGTCAAACAGCTCCCAGTTGAAGTGCAAGCAGCATTATGTGGTCATGCACTGTCATGGAGGAGCACTACGCTGGATGTCAGCATTTCATGCATTTTGGTCTAAATGGCCCTATGCATTTTTTTAAGTGTTCAACAATATGCTTCTGCCATTGTTGTGGTTCCATGTTGCATGAATTCCACCATCAGCACTCCTTTTCTGTTGCAGAAAACAGTTGCCATCAACTTTTTAGGAGACAGCGTTTGTTGAAACTTTTTCAGCTTGTTTGGTGAATGTGTGTGCATCACACACAGGTTTCATCACCTGTTACTTGTACAGTGTGATTGAGAAATTCAGTGTCATCTTTGTGGTATAGCTCTAAAAAAGTTGAGGCCAAAGCCATGCTTTGCATTTTATGCATACACATGAGCTTTTTCAGAACCCACCTTGCACAAAACTTGTGATAGCCTAGCCTAACTGTGATAATCTTGTAGAGAAGAGTGTGAATTTTTTAAATTAACATGGAAGTTCAGAAACTGTGAAGCACTGTCTTTAAAAAATTTTTATCAACACTTTGAACAAGATAATCACTCACTACAGATGACAGACCACTTCGCTCTTCATCGTGAGCGTTTGTTTGCCCAACCATCTTTGTACATTCTGCGCCACTGTCTTATAGTTCCTTCACGCATTACATTTTGGCCATAAACTGTTCATAATTCACAATGGATTTCTGCAGCACTCTTGATTTTAGCTTCAAGGCAGTGGATAACAGCACAAATTTTGCAGCTGGTGGGATTATCAATCGCAGGATGCATCATAACTCTGTAGAGACAAGAACTAGGTGACCAGTTAATGTGATCATTTACAAGGCAATGAGTCATGTGGTGCTACTTTGTATTCATAAGCTCTCCCTCGCTCTTACATTAATTGCCTAAAATAAACAGAAGTTATGCTCTAAGTAGCCCTTGTTGTACTTAGACCATTTCACAACCATGCCACATATTTGCATTTTAGTACTACTGTTTATCTACAATGCTCGCAGCCAAAAGCGAAGGACACATCACAGACACAGTACACACAGAAACGACTCCCATAGTGGATGAACCATACTAGACACGAGTTTGAATTAAGACATATAGATGAATAATCTTAAGTTTTAGTATATACAAATTTTATTATAGTTGACAAATAATGTACTCTCTAAATAATTTTATGAAAGACACAAGATGGCAAACAATGTAATAGCTTAGCGCAAATAACGAACCTGAAAATGGCACTATGTGGCCAAAACATGTAGTATGAAGTGACATATGAAATTGAGTACACTACAAGACGGCCATTACATACATATGGATGAAAATCAGTGCAAACCGCACTTGAAGTGACAATCAAATGATTGGAAGCATCCTGGCTCTCCTCGTCCAAAGAAAGTGCCCCCTACACACAGTAATGTGAAGGCGATGTTCATTGTGGCATATGACATTGATGGAGTGATACTGCACCACACTGTACCTCAACGACAGACACTAAACGCTGCCTACTACTGCAATTTCCTGCATAATCATCTTCGTCGAGCACTCAGGAGAAAGCGACGACACTTGTTGGCAATGAACCCCATCATCCTTTATGGCAGTGCAAGGGCTCATACTGCTGACGCTATCAAGGATCTCATTCTCCGCTGACAATGGGAGATCCTGCAACATCCGCCATACCCACCCGATATGAGTCCGTGCGATTATGATCTCTTTGCCAAAATGAAAGAACCACTGCGAGGGACATGTTACAACACAAGAGAGGAGATTATTCATGCTGTAGGGTGCTCACTGCTGGACATCAACAGAAGTGCACGCGCTGATGGTGTACGATGCCTTCCACAAATTTGGCAGAAGGTGGTACACATGGGGGGTGATTATATTGAAGGAATGTAAGTGCACTTCCTTTGTCTTTTACATACCAGACGATGGATGAAGTCCAAAACAAGCCAAAAGAAGTACAGTATACACCATCGTCAGAATCCTTGCAAGTCTATCTGAATGTGTGTTTACCTCAGGTAATAAAGTCATTTCAGAACTATAGAGGTGTTGCCACTACTTTTTATCCAACCTATGTACATTTTGAAGGAAAATTTTATAGTTATGGAGTGTCAGTGTTACAGTCTTCCAGGATGCCACACTGAGTAGTTTGGTACCAGTGTTTTAATTTAAAATGAGTAGAATGATGGCCATTTTTAAAGTAAATGTAACAGTCTATATTATTTCACTTATTCTGTCATCATTGATTCAGTGTTATTTCTTTCCATCCAATTTTTATGTTATGTTGGTTTATGTTGCACGTTATGGTGCAAGTTTCTAAATAGGATGTTGATCTTTGGAATTTTGTTTGCTGTTTATTTTGATTGATATAATTTTATTTCTTTGCAGGCCATTTGTATGTAAGTCTTGTGGTGCAAGTTTCAAAACAAAAGCAAATCTATTGAATCATCAGCCAACTCACACTGGTGAAAAGAAATACTTCTGTGAACTGTGTGGACAGCAGTTTGCACATAAGACAAGTCTCACATTGCATTATAGGTGGCACACTGGTAAGAGTTAACTCAAGTGATGTCTAGATATCTTAACTTTCTCCTTGTCTAGCAAATGATTCTGAGGATTGATGTGTCTCAAATGTTGATAGTCAGAAGAGTAGAGGTACTTGCTGAAATTGGTACTTACACAATAGTTACATTCCCAAGAGTGGTTACATAACTTTAAGTTCTGTAAGTCAATGTTTCTGATATTCCATTGGTTCCACTTCCTTTATTTTCAATGTAGAACTATTAACTTTAATATTCTACATCCAATATTGTATTTAAGCATCCTGTTGGCACTCACTTTACAAACAAGCAGCGGTCGCTCGGTCGATATAGTTCGCTTGCAGACTAAAACCACGGAGTTTGTTTTTTGATTTACAATGCAAATTATTACTCGTAGTGTCTCTTCCTTCTCACAACATGTGCAGCACTACTGCACAAGCAATGTAAACCTACAGTCAAAGGTACATATATGATAGCTACATCAACATACTTGGGAACTACACACAGCAAGACAACCACCCATGCTGCTGCACATATAAATCCAAACAGTGTCATTTGGCTGAATGGGTGATGACCCCAAGCAAGATATTGAAATTTTGACTAAATTTTAACTAGTTTTTGTTGATTTTAATTAAGGTCCATTTGTTGTAAGTTAAGAGAAACTGCGTTCACATGTGATATGAGAAGTTGCGCTTACGAGGGTAATTCCAAAAGTAAGGTCTCCTATGTTTGAAAATATAAAATAAACATTTATTTTCAATTTTGGATACATCAGTTGAATCTTGAACATGTACTCATTTCTCTACATAATCGCCATTTCAGTCGATGCATTTTTGTAGGCGCAGTAGCAGTTTTTGTATGCCCACGTCATACCAGTTCACCTCCATGCTGTTCAGGAAACTTCGAACCTCAGCTTTCACCTCATCGTCGTCGTTGAAGTGCTTTCCAGACAAATGTTCTTTCAACTTTGGAAAGAGATGGTAGTCACTGGGCGCCAAGTCCGGACTGTAGGGTGGATGGGTGATGATGTTCCATCCAAACTGTTGCAGTTGAGCGACGGTTTGTCGGGCAGCATGGGGACGAGCGTTATCGTGGAGAATGCTTACGCCCTTGCTCAACATCCCTCTTCCCCAGTTCTGAATCACCCGCCTGAGTTTTCTCAGTGTCTCACAATATCTCTCAGCGTTTATTGTGGTCCCAGTTTCCATAAAGTCAACCAACAATACCCCGTTTCGATCCCAAAACACAGTTGCCATGACTTTACCGGCAGACTGTGTTCTTGAATTTTCGAGGCTTAGGCGAAGAGGAATGCCGCCACTGACGTGATTGTTGTTTTGTCTCAGGTGTGAAGTGGTATGCCCAGGTTTCGTCGCCTGTGACAATTGAATTCAAGAAGTTGTCCTTTTCGTCAGCATAGCGGCGAAGAAATTCACGGGAAGAGTCAACTCTCTGCCGTTTGTGGTCTTCCGTGAGCATTCGCGGGACCCATCTTGCGCACACCTTCCGATAATTCAACTTCTCTGTCAAAACCTGATAAATGGTGGTTCGGGAAACCTCGGGAACCGAAATGCAGAGATCATCGAGTGTGATGCGCCTATCCTGACGCATGACTCGCTCAATCTTCATGACTGTCTCGTCAGAAATTGACGGTCTCCCAGTTCTTTTTTCGTCGTGTATTGCAGTACGACCAGATTCAAACTCCCTACACCACTTGCGGACGTTCTTTATGTCCATGCACGACACGCCATACACTTCCACCAATTGACGATGAATTTCAATTGGTTTAGTCCCTTTTGCGTTCAAAAACCGAATAACTGCGCGAATCTCACACTTCGCGGTTTTAGTAATCGGGAGCTCCATTTCTAACGGCAACCGTGCCAAGACTGAGCATCCTAGCTACGTGCGCGCATGCTTGGTGGTATTGGGGGGAGCGAGGGAAGCAACGAATGCAACAGGGTTGCCAACAGCCGCACGAAAAATTACCCAGCGCTTTGGAGACCTTACTTTTGGAATCAGCTACATACCATATAGTGCAACAGTTTTAATGAATTTGAGACAACTGATGGTGGCCATGTACAGTTGTAACATGCTGTGTGAAGGAAGGGGGGATATAATAGGGTGCATTGTAGATGGAAATATATTGTATGAAATAAACTCTACATATATGTTTAACACTGGTTATTTTGACCATTATGAATCCCAGTTCTGTTGTTTCAGACATATCATTTCATTATTTCCACATCATCATCATCGGCAATAGCCTTCCTTAGAAGATTCTGCCATATTTGACCTGTATTCACTTTTTGGATTTTATAACATTTTTTTTTACGGAACAAGGTTGTCAGCCTTGAGTCCATCCCTAACCTGGAGGACCATGTCACTCTGTTTATGTCCCCCAGTGACAGGGTGGTCCAGTTATAACTCCAGGCACTTGATTCCCTTTCTGTTGCCTTCTGTGAGTTATTGGGCTATGGTGGAGATACTGTAACCCACCTCCACACAAGGAATCCCCAGTCTTCACTAAAGAACTGAATAAAAAATGTGTTAAATACAACATTTGTATAAGTTGAAATTGCTTGTGATGGAGGATAACAACTTGAATATCCAAGACTGTTCAAACAGAAACGTATTTGTTTCTTTGAATACATGTATGTTATTGAAGAGATGTAGTAGTGTTATTTATTTTTCAAATGAATCCGATAATGGATAATTTATAATTTATTTAACATCCATAACTGTTACACAGGCACATTTGGACAAGTCAGTTGAAAACAACCAAACCTTAAGTGTTAGCAGCTCTTAAAAAATGTACAAGACATTTTACAGTCAATATCAATAATCAATATCCCCTTGATATAGCTTACCAACCATGGATGACAGCTCCCAGCAATTCAATATAAAGCAATAAATATACCAAAAACACAGTCAGCCATGTAAAACAAAGCATCACACTACCAATGAAGATAGCAGTCCAAAGACCGTCTGTATACTTCCGTATCACATTGTAGCCATTTTGCTTCCATAGGCATGCTGTAGCCATGTGTTGAGCACCACTTCATAGCAGTTGCTTTATGGCCGCAGCTGCTCGCTGTGAAGGGTTAAGTCAGACGCAGCTACTCACTGTGAATCGCCTTTTAGTGATTCCAAGGAAACAGTTGTTGATGTGGCTGTACAATAACTCTGATGTTATGTAATATGATGTACTGGGTGCCACTCAGTAGAGAACATGAGACCTTTACTAGGACCGTTAAATGGGCTTTGGCTCCAACAAAGCGGTCAAACAAAACCCACGACAAATTTTACAACACTTGCACTTTATTTAATTTTGATTAATTAAATCGTCAGTGATAGACATGATGGCAGTACACAGTTCCTTTGTTCCCTTCGAGGAGAGAGACATACAGGCGTCTTAACAGTTTAGAAGCTAGGCATTGTCTGTCTAACACAAAGAATTTGGCGTATCAAGCCAGTAGCTGCTTGGCATGACATCGTCCAGTAACAGGTGTTTCTTATTGGCTATACATTGGGAAGTACCTCTCTAAAGTCCCTAGCTATATGCGCTCGGAGTTTATGTCACGCATTACAAACACAAAGGGGAACCCCTGGGCTATAAATTTACGTATGAAATCACTCCACATTGTATCATCTGCTAGTTAACTTATAGTCCATGGAATCTTATATTGCATGATTATGTATGCAATTCCCTCAAATTCATAATTTAAGTTTTGTAAATTGCAATAGTTATATAAAAAAATTATATGTGTACATAAATTTGGCGAAGTATGTTACTAAAAAGGAGTAATCAGTTACACTATCAAAACTAACTTGAATTACCAGACTGTCATCTATCATTGTTACTAAAAACGCTTGTAGAGAACAAAAACAGTTTTATAATAAATAACTTTTTAATTTGTTTTTAAAAATCCTAAATTTTTTATTGTTTTTAATTTGAGGAGTAAATTGTTATGTATTTCCATTCTCATATTACACTTTTTATACAATGAACAGTGCTGCATAATTGGAGATATAAATCCTGTTTCCCTTTTGTGTTATGCTTATGAATATCAGAATATTGAGTCGTATAGATCTTATTCTTTGTTATTAAGCACAAGTTCTCAGATACACATACACAGACTTCTACAAGACACCTTGTTTTTAACTCCTTTAATAAGTCTTAGACCTTTTTTCTGTATTTTAAATACTACAT